TGGTCTCAAGTTTCAGATCAGAAAAACAAAAAGCAGACAGGCAGTATTGTTGGTTTGGCCATGTTTTTGTCTATTCCTGCCCTAGGTGGGATGGGTATTGAGAAGTTTCGGCATATGACATTTCCCCCCTTACTGAAGTTTTTAAGTGAGATCTCATAGGCTTGCTCTATTTTGGAACTTGGATTTAGCTAGTTACTTCATGTTTCCATAAAAAAAAAAAAAAAAAAGAGCTGGGTTTTTTTTTTTTTTTTGTAAATAATATGTTTAGATTTTTAAGAATTGAAAGGTATAAACTATGAACAATAAATTTCCACCCCACTTTTGTCCATTAGTCATTCAAATCTTCTTCTGGTGGCCACTATTATAGTATTTTTTTTTGGCATATTCTTGCAGATTTGTACTTTGCGTATATATTTAGCTGTATTACTTTTTCCCCATTCCCTCAAAATATGGTATTGCATGTACATCTGTACTATGCCTTTTTTGCTTACCAAAATATCTTTAAGATTAGTCAATCTGTATTTCTTTATCAAGAATATTCTCATTTTTTCCAAAGGATGCTTTTATTTTTAACCACTTACATTAAGACATATTGTTGGTTCATATTTTTACTATTGCAAATAATCCTTCAGTGTGCATTCCTAATTTTGATTGATTTTGCCAAATTGCTCTTGTTCAGTTCTGTCATCTTTAGGTTACTACTATAGTGTGTGAGAACTCCTGATTCTCAATTGCCTCAAAACGTGATATAATTTGGATGTTGGCCAACCCAAGTTAAAAAATGGCATTTGGGTGTAGTTTTGTTTTGTATCTTTCTTTTGAGTGAGGTTTAGCCTTTTTTGATCTGTTTAAACCGTTGTATAATTTTTCTATGAACTGGGATTTGCCCATTTGCCCTTTGTTGTCTTTTTTTTTTTAAGTCTTTTGTTGGAACTCGTTATTTATTAGGTCAGACCTTTAATAGGTTTTGAGTTAAATAAAAACTGATGTTGGAGTAGAAGTTGCTTCATTTCTGATTGAACTCAAAACATTCCGGTAACCATTGGGAGTTGGAGGCCAGAGTTGTACATTGGATAGCCTGTGTATTTAAGTTCCTTTCCTAGTCCAGCAGAACCTTCGGGCCAACATTTTTGGAGGAGTTTATGGAGATGACATGATTAGCTAAATATATTTCAGATATTCTCTCTCTGAGGGATGGTAGATTGCTCAAGAAATAGCATATTAATTCATCTTCCACATTTTATTTTTTTCAGATAAGCCTGAGAAGCAATGTTTTTAAATCTCTCATATATATTAAAATGCTATTACATCAAACTTATTCATTGTAAAATATAGGTGTTTCAGTTTCTTATTTATGAAAGAATGCATCTGATAATGGTGAGTCAGAGTAGCTTGAAGTTTAATAACTCATACTGCTTGGATGTGTGTTCATTTTAACTGAAACTCTTAATTTTCCGAGGCCTGAGTTTTCACTCCACCTGTTTTTGTGGGACTATTGGGCCTAAGCTCATTTCATGGCTGGGTCAGACATGATGGCATGTATGCTAATCATTTAAATTCCACTTCGAAAAAAAATTAAAAAAAAAAAATCTACTTGGTCAACTGACACATGAATAAGTAGTAACCAAAGTCAAATAAGTGAAATAACCAAAGAGAAATAACTAAATAACCTAAGTCAAATAAGTGAAGTCATTAGAATAGAATCCTTCCTTAGAAAGTCAGCAATAACCACAAAACAAAAACAAAAGCAGGCATTTCAATTCATGTTTATTTAATCAATATCAGCATTCTTTTGTAATCCAAATTTTCTTCCTGCATTTATGAATATATATAAACATTTTAGTACAACAGCAAGTATATTTTTTGATTTAAAACTATCTGTCCTTTAGGGACACCTGGGTGGCTAAGTCAGTTAAGCCTCCACCTCCGGTTTTGGCTCAGGTCATGATCTCATCCTTAGGGAGAGTGAGCCCTGCATTGGGCTGTGAATGGATGCGGGGAGCCTGCTTGGGATTCTTTCTCTCTCGTCCTCTCTGCCTCACCCCACTCAGGCTAACACTGTCTCAAAGTTAATAAATAAACATAAAAAAACCTCTATTTGTCCTTTTTAAAAAAAAAAAAATATATATATATTTTAAAGCTTATTTATTTTGAGAGAGAGACAGTGTGAGTGGAGGAGCGACAGAGAGAGAGAGAGAGAGAGAGAGAGAACCCTTCTGTCAGGGCTATCAGCACAGAGCCCGATGTCAGGCTTGAACCCACGAATTGTGAAACCATCATCTGAGCTGAAACTAAGAGTTGGACGCTTAACTGACTGAGCCACCCAGGCGACTAAAAGCTATTTGTCCTTTAAATGAAATGTTCTGTGATAAAAATTCACTGGACTCTTTTTTTTTTCTATCAAACTTTTATTTTATTTTATTTTATTTTATTTTATTTTACTTCATTTTATTTTACTTCATTTTATTTTATTTTATTTTTTAATTTTTTTATTCTCAAGTGAGATAACATGCAGTGTAGTCCTGGTTTCAGTAGAATCCAATGATTCATCATTTACGTATAACACCCAGTGCTCATCCCAACTAGTGCCTTCCTTAAAGCTCATCAGCCATTTTACCCACCCCCACCAATCCTCAATTTGCTCTCTGTATTTAAGAGTCATGGTTTGCCTCCCTCTCTGTTTTTATCCTATTTTTCCTTCCCTTCCCCGTGATCGTCTGTTAAGTTTCTCAAATTCCACATATGAATGAGAACATATGATACCCGTCTTTCTCTGACTGACTTATTTCACTTAGCATAATACCCTCCAGTTCCATCCACGTAGTTGCAGATGGCAAGATTTCATTCTTTTTGATTGCCGAGTAATACTCCATTGTATATATATACCATATCTTCTTTACCCATTCATCCATTGATGGACATTTGGGCTCTTTCCATACTTTGGCTATTGTTGATAGTGCTGCTATAAACATGGCGGTGTGTGCGTCCCTTCTAAATAGCACACCTGTATCCCTTGGATAAATGCCTAGTAGTGCAATTGCCGGGTCGTAGGGTAGTTCTATTTTTAATTTTTTGAGGAACCTCCACACTGTTTTCCAGAGTGGCCGTACCAGTTTGTATTCCCACCAACACTGCAAGAGAGTTCCCGTTTTTTCACATCCTTGCCAACATCTGTTATTTCCTGAGTTGTTAATTTTAGCCACTCTGACTGGTGTGAGATGGTATCTCATTGTGGTTTTAATTTGTGTTTCCCTGATGATGAGCAATGTTGAACATCTTTTCATGTGTCTGTTAGCCATCTGGATGTCTTCTTTGGAAAAGTGTCTATTCATGTCTTCTGCCCATTTCTTCACTGGATTATTTGCTTTTTGGGTGTTGAGTTTGGTAAGTTCTTCATAGATTTTTGATACTAACTCAATGGACTCTTTTTAACCAAGAATTAAAAGAAGTTAAAATACTATATTGCAGTGCTTCTCAGACCACCTCTGGTGTAAAGAACCAACTTAAAAAAATTTTCAATCCATTGTTGACTATTTATTTTGTAAAGTGCAAAAGACCAAAACCCCAAACCAAAGAACTAAACCCCAAACAAAATGGAAGTATGGAACTGTGAATGAAAGATAAAAATAAAAGCTCAATTTTTTATTATATTTAATAGATAAAATTGCTTCAAAAATATAAACAGAACAAGGAAATAGAAAAAAAATTACACAAGTTGTACACATTGTTTATTGAAAATGTGTATACAAACCAATTAAAATATTAATGAAATAATAATCTCTTGCACACTGGTAGCAAACCCTAGTCTGCAGACCACACTTTGAGAAACACCAGTTTTTTGGATTAGGCAGCTAAGTCACTTTTTATACTACTATTTATGTTTTATATTAGAAAAGAAAGACTTATTCCCCTCCATGTTTTAGAATAAAGTACAGATTTTTACCTGACAGTATGAATCTAGGTGTTTATGTCAGCCACCCGACTGTCAGATTTTCTTTAAATCTCTGTGTTGATTTTTAAATGATTCATTTTTCCCTAATCTGAGATATGTTCTGCCATACCATAATTACTGTTGTGAAGCCAAGATTACTAGAAGCTTGTGAGCTTGTGAGAAAAATTAGGAACTTGGTGGTATGTTGTTTTTAGTTTGTCTCATTACATTTTATATGTCATCTATCGAGCACCTCAGAAACAAAGCTTTTCATGAAAATTAAGTATTTGCACGAGTGTTGTTATTTTCATTTCTTGGTTTGGTCTTACAATTTTGTTAGCATTTATGTTTTACAGTCAAGCTGTGGAGCATTGTACTGTTTGTCTTAAGTTCTTCACAGGCAAGTGCGAATCTGTTGCTTCAGATCTTTAAGCAGCAATTTATAGATCTTAAATTTTCGCATCACACAAAAAACTAATTATGTGAGGTGATGGACATGTTAACTGATATTATTGTGGTGATCATTTCACAGTATGTGTGTGTGTCAAATCATTTTGTACGCAAATTTACATAATGTTATATGTCAGTTATGTCGCAATAAAGCTGGTGAAAAAAGTAAGCTGCGACCTGGGCTTTATATCAAGGCACCATCTTTGATTCTACAATGTCCCAGAGATTATTAGTATTTGGTTTGGAGGGAGTAGAAAGTAATATTTAAGTTATATTGAGGTTTTCTACAGTGTATATGCAGTGAAAGATAAAATATCTTTAGACTCAGTAGGAAGTCTTTTTTCAACAGTTCTTTTGTTTATATGACTTCAAGCAAGTACTGTCTGTGGACAGAGATTTAAATCTTACCTTTTCATATTCTTTGTATTATCCAGTTAAATGACTTTAAAATTAGGTTTTTGGAAAGTTATCTTTGCGCATATTTGTATAAGTTATGTTTGTGTTAGAGAGGGAAATGTATACCATCTTTGGCTGTTTTTCTTTAGGGTACTTCTTCTCCTGCAATTACTTTTGGATGGAAGTATGCACTTTCCCCAATAGAAGATGGTAATCTCAGAGAATGACCATGGAGAAGGGGATGAGTTCTGGAGAAGGGCTGCCTTCCAGATCATCTCAGGTTTCGGCTGCTAAAATAACAGTCAAAGAGTTGGAAACAAAGCAATCCCATAAGGAGAAGCGAGGGGGCTTTGTGTTGGTACATGCAGGTAAGCTCTAAGTGGGTGACTCGGAAGATGAAAATAATGTTGATTTTTTTTTCTTGCCTTGAAGTACACTGAGAATTGAATTTCATGTCTGGAGGAGGCAAACTGCCAGAGAGGAGTTGGAACCAAAGAGTGACTTCAATACAGGCCTCTCCTATTCCCTACTTGGAAGATCTTATACTGACAGCTCTTCTTATGTCTTCTTTACTTCTCTACCCTGTTACTTACTTTCACCCCCTATATGTAATAGGTATAATTAAGTAGTGTTAGAATCAGACAAAGTAATTTTTTTTAAGTTTATTTATTTATTTTGAGAGAGACAGTGTGAGTGGGGCAGGTGCAGAGAGAGATGAAGAGAGAGAATCCTAAGCAGGCTCCACACTGCCAGTGCACAGCCCGATGTGGGGCTTGAACCCACGAAAGTGCAAGATCATGACCTGAGCTGAAACCAAGAGTCAGATGCTTAACCGACTGAGCCACTCAGGTGCCCCCAAAGTCATTTCTTAAACTCTAGTTTCTGTTTTTAAAAATAATGCTACTGAGAAATTTTACTGACCCCATATTGAGTTGTGGCCTTTTTAGAATAGAATTATACGATCATGGAGTTAGTTTGCCTTAATACTAAAAATGAGGAAGAGAGATTAAGTAGCTCCAGCCTCATGGCTAGTTTGCGCTAGATCCAGGTTGAGAAACCCTTATGTGGACCCTTAGTCCCAGTCTAGTGCTTTTGGTAATACATCAGCCCATAATCTCTACTTCAGAGGATCTGGGGGACAGACACAGTGAAGTTCAACTCCTGGGTCCCCACTCATTGAGGATTTTGGATTTCAGAGCAGTGCAGCTCTGCTCTCAGCAGGCTTTTTTTTTTTTTTTTTCCCTTTAGTCATTTTTATTTGCCTGCATTTATCTAAAATGCATGACTTCTGTGAAGGGAGAAGGAATGGCTGGATCTCCTTTTAACTTTCCTCAGACAGTCAAACAGGGTGGGATCAAGATTATCTTTGATATGGGGTGAGGAGTAGAATTGTTTTTTCTTGCCAAACTGGTGTCCTGCCTGGTCATTAAACTTTGGCTATATCTAGACTAGATAACTTGGGGAGTCTTACAGAATCTAATCCAGGAGAATCTAAGAAACCCAGGTTCAATTTGCTTTTCTTTCAAAAGATTTTTACAAAGAAATGAGGTAAATTTTAGAAATAACCCAGTTAGAAGTAGACTTGGGACCAGGAATGCCTGCCTTCAGACTCCTAGTCCGGGGCTCTTCCTACTATAATGTTGATGGTGCACCTTTTGTAGTACCCAGTGTTATTTTATTTAGAATGAGTATGTGACAAACATACAAGAAAGGTTTAAAATTTTTGACAAGCAACAACATAGAGCTTTTGATTAGTTGGAAAGCATTGCTTTTTATGACTGTCATGGTAATGTCCCTCTTCTTTTACTCACTGGATGGGAATGGCTCTTAGATATCTTAGATAAGTTGGTGTTGGGGCCAGCAGTAATAGGCGGAAATTATGTGGATTAGAGTGACTCTTTTTCTAAACCATTAGAAGGTCAGATAGACTGATCATGGAGAAATATATATTTTGCACATTTAAGGGACGAAATTTCAATTCCTTATCCATTGTAGAGATCTTAAAGCTTTTTTCCCCCCCACTAGAGGAGACTTGCCCAAATTTTAGTCATTTATTTGAGTCTTAGGTTCTTGATTTTTCCTAGTCTGTATACTACCTATACTGTTTACCTAATATCAAAAGGCTGAACACTTTTTACCTTAAAACTTTAAAGCTGAAACTTATCTTTACTCAAATGAAATGTCAGTATCACTTGCATGAGGAGAAAATAACTTAAAAAAAATTTTTTTAAGGTTTATTTATTTTTGAGATAGAGACAGAGCATGAGCTGGGGAGGGGCAGAGAGAGAGGGAGACACAGAATCTGAAACAGGCTCCAGGCTATGAGCTGTCAGCACAGAGTCTGACGCCGGGCTTGAACTCACAGACCGCGAGATCATGACCTGAGCCAAAGTTGGACGCTCAACCAACTGAGCCACCCAGGTGCCCCAAAAATAACTTTAAATACAGTGTAATTTACAGTGTAAATAACCAAACCAGTGTAATTAAATTTTAGCTAAATCCTGTTGCATGTCTGTGGCTTAGATCCTGAGCCTACCTTTCCTTTGTTAAATAGAGAAATTAGCAAATGTTAACCAGATATTAAAGATGTATTGTGGCCATGCTGAGACTTTCCCCTTATTCAAAGGGGAGTTGTATGTTAATCCTATTAGAACTGTCATCCATACACTAAAGTTATTTATTTAGCAATAGTGTCCCATGATTTGGGAAATACTGCTGAAAGATTGAGGCCCCTAGATCTAAGGCGACAGACCTGTTAGAGAAGCATGAAAAGAGGCCTGTTAAATATTGGCATAGGCTGTATGAAGTTTCGCAGTTCTCTTGAGAAATAGGATTAGAATTTGGGTGTATGGATTCCTGTTGGTTTTGCATCTTTTCTGCTCTCCTGGGTCCCTGATTGATAGCTTCATGGGCTAGTTTTTTCTCTGACTTGAGGAAAGGTGGGTTAGATTTGTGTTAGAGTCTGTAGGCCTACATGAACAGCCCTGAGGCTTAGAAATGCAGTTCTTAACCTTCTTTATGTTGGACCCCTGTAGGGCCTTGGTTCAGGGGAGTTGGGGGAAGTGATTCAGAGTTCTCTGTTAAAGAACTTTGTTTAGAAGCCTAATCATCAAGAGAGTTTCAGGGCCCTTGTCTTGGTTTCTTTTTTTTTTTTTTTCAACGTTTATTTATTTTTGGGACAGAGACAGAGCGTGAACAGGTGAGGGGCAGAGAGAGAGGGAGGCACAGAATCGGAAACAGGCTCAGGCTCTGAGCCATCAGCCCAGAGCCAGCCTGGGGCTCAGAACTCCTGACCGCGAGATCGTGACCTGGCTGAAGTCGGACGCTTAACCGACTGCGCCACCCAGGCGCCCCTCTTTCTTATTTATATTATTCTCAAATCCCTAACTAAGCAAGTATTCACCCTCTTAGGGCAACAGATTTCAGAGCCATTCTCTTGAGTAGGTTGCTGGGTGTTTAAGAGACAGGGACACCAGGATTTCTTATAGACATACATGAATGTGCTGTCACTGAGGTTTCAGAGACACCCTGAGCAACAGTCCAGCAGTGAGAGGGTGTAAAAAGTTTGGATAGCAGTGATGGTATTTTGGTGGTTGTGGGAAATAACTTCAAATGTTATGTAGAAACTACCTAGTTTTCTGGTTATTTTTAAGGATTCAGGATTCTGAGCAGTTATTTGCCAAATGGCAGGGGCTTTCTAAAGGTCAACAGAAAGGAAAGTGAAGGGACGCTGTCCCTGACACCTCCTGGGTTATCAACTCCAGACCAAAAAAAAAAAAAACAAAAAAAACCTGACTTTGGAGAGAGGTTTTTGAAAGGAGATGATCTTGGTGGAGTCCCTTTGGGGATATGAGCTATTTTTAGTGCCTCTGTCAGGAAAATAGCCTTTGAAAAAGAAGGTAAGGCATGGCATTAAAAAGGCTATGGTAGAGAAGGAGGCGATTAGATTTTGAAAACTCCATACATGTAGGATAATACTTTTATTGTCACCAAGGGAGCATTAGTTTGTATGAACTATTTATATGATATAAGCAAAATCTCTGATATTTTAATGATGACTAGCAATCGGTTGTTTTTTTCCACTACAGGTGCGGGTTATCATTCTGAGTCCAAAGCCAAGGAATATAAACATGTATGTAAACGAGCTTGTCAGAAGGTATGAACAGAGTGTGTATGATGGAAACATTTCAGTTTTGACCAGCAAGCAGCTTTACCTTGAAATTCAAAATTTTAAGGTTTGACTTAGAAGAGAGTCTTTAGTTTGGGCCATGAAATTATTTTGCTCATATTTGCGGGGTCTTTTGTTTTGTTTTGTTTGTGTTTTTTATTCTCCAAATGATGCTTAGATCTTTCCCTCCCTTTCCCAGATTAAAGTCTGTATTTTTGGAAATGTGGGCACATAATCATATATCTTTTAATCTTTGCAAAGGCATTGAGCTCCATTGAAGGAGTAGGGAAAACATTTCAAAGGCAGTCAGTGTATCTTTCAATGAAGAGAAGAAAATAAGTAATAAAAAATTAAAATGGGTACTTTCTTAGGGAGATTATCCTGTACTTTTTCCTTCTGTTTTTCATTATGTAGTTTGTATCATAGCAAATTCATTGTCATTCCTGAGTTTAACTTTGCCCTTGTTCTCAGTTGTGCTTTTTTTTCTCTTTGGTTTTTGAGGTTTTGCTAAATTGTTGAATACTTAATTTGGATGCAGGAATGGACTCAGAAGTAATATTGTTTGTTTGTATTTTGATCTTGACTGTATACTCTTACTGGCAAAGCATCCATTACTTTTTATGCAAATACAATGTTAATGGATATTATATATCGAGTAAATTTGGGTCTCTCCCTGCTCTTTTCGTTTATATTTAAATACCATTGAAAAGAAAGATTATGAGTCATTAATGAAATCCCATAAGTAAGAAAATTTTGTTATAGGGATTTTATCGTTTTTTAAATTTATAATGAAGCTAGAAGTTCTCTAAACTATTTCATATTTTTTCTTATTTTTTAATTTTGAAAGTTTTTATTGTCTGAAATGTTTTATATCACTATAGTCCTAGAATCCTAATACATTTTGAATGTATAATCAGCCTTCTCAATCTATACAATGAATGAACTTATTAAAAGCTTAATGAGGAATACAGCTCTTAATTTTTGAGCATTTTCTTTTGTTGACTAAATTGGAGCTTTAATTGTTCATTTAGAAATCAGTTTTCCTTCTCTCTCTCCCCTTTATACTTAAGAAATAAGGTGATTTTATAGGCTGTTACTCTGTATAATTCATATTACAAAAGAACATTATTTGTTTATCTCAATATTTTGTACAGTGGTCTGCCCTTATCTATGGGGGATATGTTCCAAGACCCCCAGTGGATGCCTGGAACTGCAGATAGTACCAAACCCTATATGTACTTGTTTTTCCCTATATATACATACGTATGAGAAAGTTTACTTTACAAATTAGGCACAATAAGAGATTAACAACAATAATAATAAAATAGAACAGTTATACTGTGTGTATATAAAAGTTATGTGAATGTGGTCTTTCTCTGTCAAAATATCATATTGTACTGTACTTGCCCCTTGTTGTAATGATGTGAGATGATAAAATGCCTACATGATGGGATGAAGTGAGGTGTATAATGTAAGCATGATGATGTAAGTGCTAGGCTACTGTTAACCTTTTGATGATATGTTAGAAGGAGGATTATCTTCTAGACTGCATTTGACTGGGGGTAACTGAAATTGAGGATAAGGGGGAACTACTATAGTACCAAAAATGCTTTTGTCACATATATATGTCCATCTAAATGTTTGTGTGACTGAGAGTCACTGCTTTTTAGTTAGGGATGTGGAGAGGAAAACAGTGGGAAAAGATGTTACTAGCTAAGTCTGAGATTCAATTATGAATATGAAGTATAAATTATCAGGGTATTTATGTATTTATTTTTGTCTTTCTCTAAATTTTTATGTAAATTCCAGTTAGCATACAGTGTAATATCAGTTTCAGGTGTAGAATTTAGTTATTCATCACTTACATAGAACACCCGGTGCTCATCACAAGTGTCCTCCTTTGAATTATCAGGATATTTAAATGAAACTGAATTTGATAATATCTATGGCTATTTTGAATTGCCCTGTGATGATTGAAGCCCTTCCACTTATTAAATTGCCTGCACTTTTCATTTAGTGGCTAGATTGTATTCATTGTCTTAATTTGAATTATCAGTGAGCTATATCATAAATTATACTAAATATAAACACTTGCTTGTTTTAAATCTAAGTGGTTTATGTCTTGAGGTACGGAATGGGACTAGTGATCAATTTTTATTAACTTTAAATGTCTCCTATACTTCTTTATGGCCTTGGAAAGTTTCTGGGCCTATTTGGGAAGTTGTGGTTTTACAATGAATAATCTCTCCCCTTGGTTTCATAGGCAATTGAAAAGCTACAGGCTGGTGCTCTTGCTACAGATGCAGTGACCGCAGCTCTGGTGGAACTCGAGGTATTTCTTTTCTCTATGTTTTATTGAAAATATTTATGAGTTTATGTTCGTTATTCTTAAATGACATAAAAGTATTGAGTTAGTTAACCATCAATTATATGACCAGTGTTTCCCAACTGTATTAACAAAGTTATGAAGAGCCCTGTGATATTGCTAGGTTATTTTCCTTGGGGACTTCTCTTAGTAACATAAAAGTTGGTTAAATCAACCCTGCCTCCCCC